GATAACGGAAACAGGAGCGCTACTACTACTCGTCTGTCGGACTGGTCCAGTGCTCCTCTAGCCTGGCGCCTCTTCCCCTCGGCCTCTGCGCTGCGCCATGGAGAGAGAGAGAGAGATGCCACTCACGTCGCCTCTTCTGCCGGTGTCCTGTCCAGTGTGACGAACAAAAATGGCCTGGCTGGCTGTGTAGATCCGGTGTTTTCATTGAGGGCGATGAAGGTTGTAGACACTGACAGGTAAGGCCCGATGGGACGCAAGATATTTTCCATTATGTGGGAATGAACCGATTTAGGTGAAAAATGCGCAGTCTCGTTTTTGGTATTCTCTGAGGATTCATTGACAGCAGATCCGTACTGTATGTACACCAGCTCGCAGTAGTAAAACGGATGGACGCCCGGGCCGGCCAGACTGGGAGGAGAAGGTGGAAACAGCTGGCCTCGCAGTTTGCCTTTTCCACACAACGTGCTCGCGCCTTTTCTTGGCCAACTAGCTACGTAGCTCGCTCTACATGGAACGATCCCCTTGCACTGTCTTGCTGTAATCTTGTGCCAGAGGAGATTAATTAACATTCAGGATCGGTACAGTAGCATTTTTACTACTGGTGGTTCCTAAAGGTGGCTTTTCAGTTTCAGGTAACTTTCTTGGTATTTGACTAGTAGTAGATCGAATACAGTTTCATGCAAGTATACAATTCAGCAAAAGGCGATGCACATACACCTGAAAGACATTCTGTAGCACGTGATTTCAACATGTTAGTGCGTATGTTAGCTGACACGAAACTATGAGATGAGACTGTCGCCGTACACCAGGCGTATATATATAGCGGACAAAGTAGCAGTACTGGACAGTGAGTTTGCTGGATGTATTACCACTTTTCGATTTATTTAATCCATAAGCATGTATCGAACATAGAAACGAGACATTTATGTAGACAGTAAGTACGACTAGCATATGAACAGTTAAATAGAGGGTGAACAGATCATACCTTTGGCTAATTTAGGCTAGGATAAAACCGCGGTGGTTGCGGCTTCCTCCGCAACTTTCTTCTTAGCAGCGGCAACGTCATCCATGGAGTCGGTCTCGGGAAAGTAGTCTTTTTTTTTACGAATGAGTCTCGGGAAAGTAGTCGAAGCCAAGGACGAAGACGAAGAGGGCAGACGTGCGAAGACGCTCTCCCAAAACCTTATCGCCCTTTTCCTAGTGTAGGATCGCAAACAACGGGGGTTTCAAAGGCCTTCTCTGGCCGTGTACGCGGTCAACTGGATGGATCACTCGAAGCAACAACAGTGACTGGAACAGTGGAGTGACGACCAAGGTTGTGTGAAAGGAGGAACGGAATGTGTCAACTAGGGTTGCAAACACCTCCAACATATAGTCCGGTGGATTGGGAGTTGTAGCACATGGTCCAACCTCTCACAAGTGGCACATCCATTAACGACTCATAATTAATTTCAAATTAATTAATTATTCCCGACTGACAAAATAAAGTGCAAGTATGACATAGATCTGAGCTCGGATCGGCTCGTTCATGAAACATGATGTGTGCGTGGGCGAGGCAAGGCATGACGAATAGTGGAGGAGGAGCGTGCATGTACCACTCCCCTTCTCAAGATCCAATAACATATAGAAGGGAATCCGTTATAAACATGTTTCAACTCTCCTCCACTAGCATTATGGTACTAAACTTCCCACCATGTCATGACATCCCACACGGACCTTAGGGAGGAATTATGGTTTATATGACCCAAGGCTCATATATAATTCAACAATTCCCCACCAGATCCCGAAGACATTATGTTGTCCTATGTTCCAAAACATTGTTTTGATATACTGGTATTTTTCAGTGGAGACCGATTAAGATTTAACATCCACCTAAAGCAAAGGGTTGTACTTCTTCACAACTGAACAATGGACCATGCCTTAATTATTAGTTTGACGTTTAAAACTTTCACCAATTTTCTTACCGGTACTAGGCTGCCGAAGGCTAACCCCACGGGTGGAGCATATTAGTCACACTCCTGACCTACTTATCAGCTTCCTAGAGATTACCCTATCAAATAGACTGTGACCAACAGTCGGGCTCATATAGGTGTGTTCTTCCAAAGATTGCTTTGTAGGATGGCCTCTTGCTTACACAAGCTTTAGAACACATTACTCTTAGAAAGGATGCCAGAGTACTCGTCTCGTGGGGCTCGCTAAGGGCTAAGAGAGCCTTTGACCGTCCATTTCACGGTGGCTCATCGCGAGGGCCTCTCGGGGGCTCTTCGTGTCGTCCGATCTATCCGGACGATACGCACCCGGGTGACCTGGTTGGGCGGTCCCTGACAGGAGGACCACGGGGCTCGCGAGGAGCGAAAGTCATGGGGCGACGTTGGGAGCACCCGTGAGGGCACTGTCGCGCGTTGCCCCGCACGCCAACACGCTCGCGTCAGGTTAGCCAGACCCACCTATTGGTAGCCTTTGGCCCCGGGCGGTTAGATTGGTTGGGCTAGTTGGCGGGTAGTGCGCCCGCAATGCCCATGTTGTGTGTTTCCTCACCCGCAATGGCCAAGCCGAACCTGCCCGTCATGGCCTTTGGCCCCGCGCATGACGACTGAGCCGGACCCCAGTCTGTTAGCTGCCTTTGGCCCCTGACTGGTTGGTCCGGTCGTGCCAACCGGGCCCGTGCGCGCGTCTCGTTGGCGAGTGTCAGATGCTCCAAGAGAGATGTAGGATCAAAAGTATGTCTAGAGGAGGGATGATTAGACTACTTGACAAAATAAAAACTTATCATTTTCCCTATTTTAGCTGTGTGCAAGTTTTATCAATTCTACCAAGGCAAGAAACACCCTACACATGCAAAGTCTAAGAGTTGTGCAGCAGAAGGTAAAGACTTCACATATGAATGTAAAGGAGGGATCGGAGAAATCAAACGCAATGAAGACACGGTGATTTTTGGCGTGGTTTCGATAGGTGGTGCTATCGTACATCCACATTGATGGAGACTTCAACCCATGGAGGGTAACGGCTGCGCGAGTCCCCGGAGGGCTCCACCCATGAAGGGTCGACGAACAAGCAACCTTGTCTATTCCACCATGGCTTACATCCACGAAGGATTAGCCTCACTTGGATTATATCCGCACGAAGTAGGTGATCTCCTTGCCCTTACAAACTAATTGGTTCAACTCCACATGATCTTGGAGGCTCCCAAGTGACACCTAACCAATCTAGGAGACACCACTTTCCAAAAGGTAATATATGTTGTTGTTGATGATGAACTCCTTGCTCTTGTGCTTCAAAAGATAGTCTCCTCAACACTCAATCACTCTCTCACAGATTTGGCTTGGGTAGGAGAAGGATTGAAGTGGAAATCAACTTGGCGAGGCTAGAAAGAAAGGTTCAAATGGTTGGATTGGAATGTCTTGATCTCAACACATAAGTAGGTGGTTCTCTCTCAGAAAATGAATGGTGAAAGTGTAGTTTCATTCTGATGTCTCTCTCAGAGTGTAAGTAGGGGTGGAGGGGTATATATAGCCTTCACCAAAGACCCAACCATTACAACCTTTTGGCACATCTCGGTGACACCGAAACAAAATCTTGGTGAGACCGAACTGTGTAAAAGATTCGAATATTAGGAATTTCAATGACACCGAACGGATCCACTCGGACTGACCGATTCATGATGACCTAAGCAAGACCTTGTTTTAGTAGGTCCGATCAAACCAACTCAGTAATTCCGAAATGGAATCGAAGGGTTACAGAAATTTGGTCACTACACTTTGGTGGCACCGAATCTCATCTCGGTTCTACCATGTTTCTAGGGTTTGGCTGTGGCGCTGTGTAGGTTCAACTTGGTGGGTCCGGGTGTAGATGTATCGGTGGGACCGAGTTTGATATGTAGAGTTTGGAAAAATTGGAACGTGGGAAAGTGGCTAAGGATTTTGGAGCAATATCTTCAAGCACTTTGAGCAACTAAGTCATGATCAAAACCTCAACCCCTTTTAATAGTATTGGCTTTCCTATGGACTCAATGTGATCTTGGATCACTTAACCTAAAATGAAGAGTCTTGG